CAGTCGGCCCTGTAGCCCAAGTATTCTACTTCTTTAGTCATCCACTCACGCTTGCTCGGGTTCAGCCGCAGACCAGCATCTAAGAGACGCTTCAGCACCGCTTCGACATTGCGGCAGTGCTCTTCATCGTTCCGGCCCATGATGCACACGTCATCCAGGAAGACGGCAACGTGTGACAGGCCGGCCAGCAGCTGCTCCATCATGCGCTGGAACGCCGCCGGAGCTGACGAGATGCCGTAAACGAGCCCAGTGGCGGCCATGAGGCTCCGATGGGTGTTTATCACGGTGTAGCGCTGGCTTGCCTCATCTAGAAGCACCAGCAGATATGCGTCTTTGATGTCCAGCCTGGTAAACTTCTGATCTCCCGCCAGCTTTGTGAGGAGCTCATCGATTGTCGGAAGTGGATATTGCTTCACTCGGGAGGCTTTGTTAACCGTCAGGTCGTAGCTCCCACACATTGTTATTGAACTTTGTCGCTTTTCAGAACACTGACCGCGGGCGCCGCCCAATCCGAGGTCTTCACCGGTCGTAGAATGCCCCGCTCGACTTGGACCGTTTGCGTGCAGACGCCCCCGTCGTCCTGAAACAGCGCACTGTATTGCTGCTACAGGTCGGTCAGCAGCGATGCCATGCTGAAGATGCTTTCCTATGGTAGCCGCAGCTGTGCAGCCAGTCCCGGCCGAGGAGTGGGGGCCCGTCGCCGTGGACCACGAGCAGGGTCAGCGTGGTCTGCTCTGCGCCACACTTCACGCGCGCTGTCAGTCGGCCACGCACCAGCGCCGCACCTCCCGTGTATGTGGTCAGTGACTCCTGGCCCGACTCCAGCGGAACACTCCAACTCCGTCCGCCACATGACCTGGCTGATGATCGTCCGACTTGCCCCTGGGTCGACTTCAAACACCAGCGGATTCTCGTTGACCTCCACTGTCGTCTTGTACCGAGGAACACGGTTCGGAGTCATTGTGCTGTTCACATGTAACATGCTATTTCTCCATCCGATTCCGCGCTGCCGCCAGTACAGTATGCACCGATTTGCACACATTCCGAAGTTGTCCCACTTTTCCACACCCATAGCAGGTGGCCCGTCTGTGTGGACATTCCGGCGCTGGGTGATCGTGGCGACCACAGGGTACGCATGCTGCTCCACCAGCTGATGTGCCTGGCAGGCTGCCAAAACTCGCCGGCCCAGCCGCCGCCGGCCTTGCCACAGTCGCTGTCGCCGGCCGAAATGGGCCGGGTCGTCACCTCAGCCCTTCCGGCGGCGGCGCCGCTGGGCCGACTGCGTGCAGCGGCTCCGGACTGGAACTGACCGCTGCTGGAGTCGTCAGCGGGACTGCCTATGGAGCGACACCGATCTCCTGCACATCATCAGCTGCTGTCTCCATCGCGGTCGCTATTTCTACGGCGGATTCCAGAGACAGGCTGTCCCCCTCCCGCAGAAGTCGCTTCAACATCGCCCCGTTGCTTAGCCCGCACACAGATCTGTCCCGAAGTTGCTCCTCCAGGCGATCACCGTACGAACAGTCCCTTACAATCCGCCGCAGTTCCGCCAAAAACACTGGCACTGTCTGTTCAGCCTGCTACACTGTCCGATTAAACTTATACCGTGACACGATCACTGTCGGCCTCGGGGCAAAATGCCTCTGGGCTGCCTCCGCCAGCTCCTCGGAGATTTTCGAGGCGGGTAGCTCCGGAGCACAGGTACTTCGCAGAACCGAGTACTCGCGTGACCCACAGACGCTCAGAAATACTGTCCGTTTCCTGGGCGCAGACGTGATGGCGTTAGCAGCCAGAAACTGGTCAAACCGCTCCAGATACTCTCCAAAATCCGAGTCACTGTCACTGTTCTCACCGATATTCCCAATCAGTGATAAAGTTATCATGTTGCCGCCACGTAAAAAAACAAAGTTCACCATCCCATCCTTGTCGCCAGTTGATCTATCCATGCATGATGGATGAAACAATTCGCTCGGCGCACCATCCGCGCGCGGCTCTGTATTCCAGATTCCCGAACAACCCACAGATCCGAGCAAGCACCCGACCCCGGTTGTAATCAAGCACTCCGCCGCGTAACACTCTGCTTGCGCCACTGACCTCTGCTCACCATCTTTATCTGAGAACCGCATATGTGTGAACTTCATGTCAACGGCAACACATATGACATGTAAACCAGCAATGAACCGCATGAGCTAGAGCACTGCACTTTGGTCCAACACGGAAATCGCTCGGCCCATTTCCAAGGAACGTTTAGCAGCAACCAGCAAAGGGAGACTATTCCATCAGGGTTTTTTTACCGGTGACCTCAGGTCACAGTCTTTTTCTACACAATTATTTTCATCATCATATTATCATCAGTTTCTAAACACTTATTAAGATTGCATTCTTACTTTCGATTTGCGCAAACTTGGAGAAAATCAGGCCGCGATTGGTGAGTTTTGAGTTGATGGCATGGATGGCTGCAAACTAGTGTCGGCTTTCAGACGAAGTATTTGAACGAGGCGTTTGAGGCGAGTGGAGCGAATGCGACGGAATGAAGGGAATCGCGCAAGGCACGGTAAGCGCGCTGGACATAGCCGGGTGAGTGGAGGCCAGGTAAGGTGCGCGGCGAGCTGTAATACAATGTGATAGTACATTTATCGCAAAGCCAACGCAGTATTGCACTGCAGAAGTAAATCGCGATATGAAGACGCATTCTGCAGCCCCGTTCCGCTGGCTCAGTTGGCTGAAGCGTCTGCGTTTCGATCCACCCACCCGTGGTGGAGTGGGCTCGAGTCGCTCTAGGTGCTCAATATTTGTTCTTGACAGTGCTCTCACGTTCTCTCCCGTTGATGTGCTCTGATCTAAAAAAAATCCATGTGTGAAAAGTTTGGATTAAATCATTAAAATTGGAAAATTGTGTAGGTGTGCATTGTGTAGAGCCCGGCCCAGGTCCTGTCTAGAACCTGTCAACCTGGCAGGATATCATTGGTGTTATCCAAATTTAGCATAAGCTTGTGATTCTGCAGCATTAATAAGGGTGTAGGTATACATTGGTACCTAATGATAGAAAAAGTTATTGTACATCATTTGTCATGTTTCAGGCAGAACATCATAAATAATTGTAAAACAAGTAGATTAGTGCTCCTACCTTCAAATTTTAATAGCTACAATAGTGAGCTCCCGAGCACTGCACGCAACCCTGCCACCTCGACCCCCCAGCGCCGTTTGTGTGTTAGCGCTGCACAATTACAAAATTTCTGCTTATCAAGAACCATAAAAAATGTAAGGGGCCAAGGTAACAAAAATAATGCAATGGAAAACATTTCTTATCACGTCAAGGTATATTTATGAAACAGACAGGCCAGAATAGTCCAGAAAATAGCCTAAACTAGCCTAGCCTAGCCTAACCTAACCTAGCCTAGCCTAACCTAACCTAGCCTAGCCTAGCCTAGCCTAAGCCTAACAACCTAACCTAACCTAACCTAACCTAACTCTAACCTAACCTAACCTAACCTAACCTAACTAACCTAATCCTAACCTAACCTACACCCCCCACCCCTATCCCTTTCAACCCAGTGTTCATCAGCACTATGTTCCATGCCATATAAATAGTTACCATATTAAGAAGTTCTGCCTTATGTTCATGTTCTGCCATGTTTTGCCTTAAAAAACAATGATTGATGTACATTGCTCTTTTTTAGCATGAGGGTAGCAATGTATTCCTGGACCTTACTAAGAAACACCACTTTTCAGCCCCTGCAGTTCCTGAAGAAGTGAAATAACACATTTGGTCATTGGCTGTGACAGTAATTATGCAGATTAAGATGTTGACATGATGAAAGTGCCATCATATGTTGCTCATTCCTTCCTGTGTGATTAGGGGCCAGTGTCCAAAATCAATCCACTGTGTGGATGCATACACAACATGATTGTGTTGAACCTCATGTTTACATGCACTGAACTCAGGCCAGGCTTAATTGCACTGAATTTTCATGTCATTTTTCATGTTTGATTTTTTAGTATTTTTGGCTGAAGTTTCTGTTGTAACATGGTTATTCATTGAGATGTTGGCTCTCTATAGGCTAAAATTGGTGCTGACCATTCCCCAAGCTCTAAGCCCTCAGATTACCTTGTGAACCTTTTTTGCCTGGATCAGTTTATCATAGCATGTTATGTTTGCAGTCAACCTGGGGACATGGGGGTTACTGCCTCACTGTAACACAACAGGGGAGCGGGTCCTCCCCTGTTACCAAAGTTATGTTAAATGTTTCTGTAGATGACCAAATGTTTACAGCATACACAATTTTTTTATAGTACATATCAAAATAGGAAGATGGAGGACATACTCTTTTACAACGCAGTACATTTCATGTGCCTGCATTGCTCTGAACTTGGCTTTCTACAGGAGGTATTGCATTGTAGTTCCCATTGTGAAATCCTGTGTATGCTCTGTGTGTAACCACTGCAGTTGCCACATGGCATTTTTGCATGCCCTGTGCAGCTTCCCACAAAAAGCATAGAGCCTTATAGATCATAGAGTCCCTACCCTGCATCTAGACCAACACATGTTCAATTTTGTGATTGGTGCAACCTTAGACCCCAAATCATCATCAGTATCATGTGTATTAGGATTTTTGTCATAGCTCACTGGAGTCTAAGTTAGAACCTGGATTGTAGCATTCATCATAAATACTTTCCCCTGACTGACAGATGGAAACTGCAGTAACCCTGAAGGACATTGACTAAGTGTATCTGTGACATCAGTGACAACCAGAATAGGAATATTCTATTTGAGCACTATCTATGTGAAAACCTTAACCCATGATCTAGCCATGATTTTGCAGCATTTCATGTAAGCTCAAGTAAGTGTAGCAAAGCAATGATCTATGAAAGCAATCATTGCAACACATAACTGTGCATGGCTGGAGTAAATGATCTCTTCCTTTCAGCCAATCATGGTCACACCACAGAAGTTTTGCTTGAAGTGGAACAACTTCAAGAACGTGTCACATCTGTTTTGATAATCTTCGTCAAGATGAGGAGCTAGTGGACATTACACTGTGTTGTGAGGGGAAGAAGATAAAGGCACACAGGATGATGCTATCTGCCTGCAGCCCATATTTCAGAGATCTTCTGAAAGTAAGTGGCCATATTTGATGCATGAACAAATGCTCAGTTTTTATGCTCTAATGTTGTGGTTATTGGCTTTTTTAATGTTGTGTGTGCATCTCATTTTGCTGTAAGCTATAAAGAGTAGGACACTGTGGGGGAATGGGTGAAGTTAAAGAAAAAACATTGCATGAACTACATCTATTGCAACCCAGAATGTCTTGTAGCAGTGACTTACGTTTTTTAATTAAAGAACAGGGAATCTGTTGTTTCATGGTGTTAATGAATTACGCTAAAGGCTGGATTCAGTTCAAAGTAGATGTACTGAATTTAACTATGGTATGCAAAACAGCGATATCTGAAATGACATAGGTTTAAAAAGGCACTCAGTACTATGAAGAGGCATTAGTTATGTTTTTTCATGTTGTTCATGCCAAATCTTATCCCTCTACTAGAGTTCAAAAAAGCATGAATGAAGATGCTTCTCATCCTTATCCCACTTTGACCAAATGATATGGTTTCTTTCAGGACAATCCATGCCAGCATCCACTTTTCTTCCTCAAGGACACATCATATGTGGACATTGCAGCAGTCATTGAGTTTGTGTACAAGGGTGAGGTCAATGTCCTCCAGAGTCAGCTGGGCAGCTTTCTGAAGACTGCAGAGATGCTCCAAGTCAAAGGTCTATCAGGAGATGATGATGATGAACAGGTGGGTGGTAGTTGTCTTGTAGGGGATGTAGCTTGTTCAGATTGCACATGGTATGTCCATGGCCTCTCATAATCTGTTTCTTGGCTTAAGCATGTACATTTAACCTGAAATGAGTGAATTCGTACTTTGAACCTTGAATCGCTACTTGAAAAGTAGAGATTCGAGGAACATGTTTTGGGAGTCATTCCTGCTCAGAGTCATTATTCCCAGTCTCGACCGAGTGGCAACCATATGATCACACATGATATTTGCTAACTGGCGGCTGCGGCGTGGTTTGTCAGGTGCCCCGATCTCAGCCGGCGGCGGCGTGGTCCGCGAGAGGCCGGCGGAGCGGGCCTGTCTGGCTGCCGGACCGCCCCCGCCTGCTGCCACCGGCCGGCCGGCCGCGGCCGCGCGAGCCGCCTGATGCGCCAGTCTCGCCTCGACACAAGCGGCGCCGGCTCTCCGGGTCGACAGGCAGCCGGCCCGACTCGCCAGTGGCGGTGCACACGGCGCCGGGGGCGCCTCCGCCTCCTACCCCCCTCCCCCCCTCCTCCTCCTCCTCCTCAGCTGCCGCCGCCGCCCATGGTGACGCCGCCGCAGGAGCCGGCCGGGGGACGGGGCGGCGCCGCTGCCGACAGCGCCGCCACCACCGCCGCCGCTGGCCGCCACCGCCACTGCCATCCCGCTGCCGGCTACCTCCGCCGCCGACCCGGCCGATGCGCCGACGCCGCTCCGGGAGCACCAGCCGCCCGCCCGCAACGACTACATCAAAGTGGAGAAAATAGACCTTGCCGACGAGGAAGGCGATGAGAGCTTAGAGGCCACGCTGGGCCAGGTGTCAACGTTCGAGGCGTCTCAGTTCGACGGGGACAACTCGACGAGCTCTCACGACATGTCCGGCCTCTTCAGCGGAATCTCAGATCAAGGTGGGTCTGGGGGCGTGCACTCGGAAGGTTTGGCCAGTCTGCATCAGTAGACTGATCACTCCGAGGGCTATGTCGAGCTCCGGGCGATATGCCCGTCGAAATCTGAGCAGCATGTCGCTAGCGCAAAATTCGGCGCAGAAGCACGGCAGAGAACACGTAGAGCGTTTGGTTCTGGTGTCGGTGCAATGGTAGAAGAAAAAGAGGCATTCAGCTCTCGTGTTGCGCTAGTGCAACGCCTCTGAACCAGCACCTCCTGACATAGTGAAGATCGTTAGTTCGACGTAGAACTTTCAGCTCATAGTGTCGATGGTCAAGTCTACATGGAACCCGAATCGGGAAAATCAGCGGTCCCTAATTCCGCTGCGATTTGTGCTCCCCCCCCCCCACCCCCCCTCCACGTTATATTCTATGTGCCCGCGCGTCAGAATTTTTCGGCCTGAAAACCACATTCGTGTTGCATGACGGCCCGCGTTCTTCTTTCTTCAGGAGGCAGTGAAATGTTAGCGGCTGGAGTGGCGGAAGACGGCGCCCCCGCAAGGTTAGTCCGTCTCGTAGCTTTCAACTGCCAGGTGCTGCTCTGGGCTGTGGAGGGCGCTCTGGTGCGAACGTGAGCACAGGATGTACTGTAAAAGGTACTGCCGGCACCGTGCCAATATTCGGGAAAAGAAAACGAAATTTGACAACACGTGCGCCAGAACCTCTTGAGCGCGTCGAGGGGACGTCCTCTCGGCTGTTAGGACGTTGTGCGTTCAAATGATATCTTTTCATGCAAGGACAAAATTGCGACTGTATGCGCATTTGTCTCACTTTGACATTGTAACGGGACCAGCCGGGCTTGGATCAAGCCCTCGCCAGGAAAAAACGGTCGGAACGTTACACAGAATGTGCCAGGTAGCCTTACTGCTGGCACCCAATTCACGCATGGCATGTGTATCCGTCAAAAATACACGCCCAGGGCGGCACCTGATCGTCGCGGCTTGACCGGCTTGCCCCTGTCGGTCAAGCCACCAGTTTCACCGGTCCCTTTCTGCATTGGTGCTCTGAATGCCGAGTGTCCTGCTTGTTCACGTGGGGTTCTCCAGTTTGTAACTGACCCGGAAAGTAAAAACTCGCTGCATGTAACCTGTGGCCGGTGGCGGAGTGCGGGTTCGGGTGAGATTCGGTCCGCCGCCCGTGCGCCCAGGCTGTGTTCGGGTGGGCACAGCCCGCGCCGCGCCGTTTGCCTGCAGAGCCCCGGAGGGGCCGACGGCAACCGTGCCCGCGACGCCGTTGGCCCGGCCGAGAGTGGCGGCGGCCGTCGGGGCGCCGCGCGCCGCCCTGTCAAGTCCGGTACGAGCAGGCCAGGCAAGAGCGCAGGCCGGGTCAGCCGCACGACGACTCGGGCGGCTTGAAGGTCGCTGCGACCCGCGGCTGGGGTGGGGCGCCGGGCTCCCGCTCGGCGCGCGCTCGACGGGGCCAGCAGGCCGCCTGCGTCCGGCTGCCAGCCAGCGCGCCGGCCTGCCCGCGTCACACGGCCGGCGGCCCAGCCGGACGTGGCGCCGGCCAGGTCAGCCGCAGCACGCAGTCGGGTCCACAGGCAGCGCCAAGGACGCGGAGCCGCCGGGTCGGTGATAGTGGCACGTGTACGCGAGGCGTGGTGCGTTTTGTAGTGTTGCCAAGCTCGCCACGACCAGCGCTGGCCGCTACCTGCTGGTCATTCGTTGGCTCACCCCGTGTGGAAAACTGCGTGGCCAGTGGCCCAGCAGACGCACGCCCTAACGAGCTCTGAATAGCCCCGTGAGCGTGCCAGCCGGCGAGGGCCACTGCACTGCGTGGCGCCACCGGCACAGCGCGCGCAGCAGTGGGGGACTCGGCGGGGTTACTTCCGCGGACGCAGCGCTACGCCTGTCCCGGGCGGCGTCGGTCTGAGCCGGGCCGGGAGCTGGGAGCTCACGGCGCCGCCGACCACGGCCGCTTGCGCCAGCAGCTGACTGGTGTGGGCGGTGTGCAGACCTGGATCGCCAAGCATTCGTTGCGCGGCAATGTCCGGCTCAGCGTGGATTATCCCGTATGTGGTACGACTGCGGTCATTACAGCGCGGCGTTACGAGAGCCGTTCTTAACGCTGCTGGCCTTGGGTTAACCACCACTAAGCCAACACACGCTTGCAAATTCACGTATAGGGAAGCACTCGCCAGCGAGTGTTGCTCTGTCTGTTGTGGCGGTCCGAGCTCAAGGCCGTGGAACTATGAACGATATTGGGATCACGTTGGCGAGAAACGTGCTTTATGTATTGGTACTGGCATCAATGATGTTCTACGTACACCTAGTTGCGTTTGCATATCACCGGAAGATCATCGAGGAAAGTAGACGCTCTTTCCTTGGCCCGAAATCGACGTCTATGAGTTGGTGTCGGTACATTTGGATGCTTTCGCCGCCGCGATGCACATATAAGTCGAATCGGAATCGAGCGTTTTATTCCTCCAAATCTGTGAAAGACTTATTCCGTCGGCATCTCGGCTCCGTCCGCCGACTCTGCAGAGGCGCGCTTGGTCGGCCTGTCGGCGGGCGGTGACGCGCGCGAACCTGCTGGTCTCGCGGGCTGACGGACGGCGCGTGTCTGTTGCAGCGGCGGCCGGCGCGCACGTGTGCGCCCTGTGCGGCGCCGTCTTCCGGCACCCCGACTCGCTGCGCTTCCACAAGGAGGTGCACAAGGGCCGCACGCGCTGCCCAGTCTGCGGCCGCGTGTTCAGCCGGCGCGCCTACCTCACGCAGCACCTGCGCATGTGCCACCCGTGCGACGCCGTCCGGTTGGCGCC